ATCGCTACAAGACACGCTTGAATGTCCGAAAGTTTAAAATGGTAATGTTTCGAGGACATAGGATTACGATAGGCTTTTACAGTAGGTTTTGCATGGATAACGGTAGCCTCTTTGCACGGATTACGGTAGCCTTTTTGTACAGATAACGGTAGTCTTTTTTTTACGGATTACGGTAGCCTTTTACAGTAGTTTTTGTACGGTTTACGGTAGCTTTTTGTAGTGTTCATCTGTTGCGAAATAAGAGATCGTTTTCCCTCTAACAAACAACCAGATTCTACGCAAAAAAAACTTAGTTATATTTTAAGAATTCACTACTTTATTATCTTGACGAAAAGTTGGCGAAAAGATTTGACTATTAGAGTGAATATAGTAGAATAATCATCGAAAGTTAATGAGAAAATAGGAAGAAGAAGGAATGGAAGAAGAGGAAGGAAAGGAAGGAGAAGAAGGGATGGAAGAAGAAGGGAAGGAAGAAGAAGGAAAGGAAGAAGAAGGAATGGAAGAAGAAGGAAAGGAAGAAGAAGGAATGGAAGAAGAAGGAATGGAAGAAGAAGGAATGGAAGAAGAAGGAATGGAAGAAGAAGGAATGGAAGAAGAGGGGGGAGGAGAAGAAGGTGGAGAAGAAGGAAAGGAAGAAGAGGAAAGGAAGAAGGGAAAGGAGAAGGGAATGGAAGAAGAAGGAATGGAAGAAGAAGGAATGGAAGAAGAAGGAATGGAAGAAGAAGGAATGGAAGAAGAAGGAATGGAAGAAGAAGGAATGGAAGAAGAAGGAATGGAAGAAGAAGGAAAGGAAGAAGAAGGAAAGGAAGAAGAAGGAAAGGAAGAAGAAGGAAAGGAAGAAGAAAAGGAAGTAGAGGAAAAGGAAGTAGAAGAAAAGGAAGAAAATGAAGGCAATGAAAATGCCAATAACTTGAATCTTCAAATCTTTAGCCCAAAAACAAACGTTTTCTCGGATCTGCCGGATGTGTGATGTGTCGTGGTTGTCCGCGGGAGTCCGGCCCTTTCCCCAGCCTCCTCCCCCCTCCGGCTTTTCCCTTGTTGATCTATTTGTATCGTCCCCTCCTCCCGATCCGAAGTGTCACACCGTTCAAATTTCCCCAATTTTCTATTGGTTTTTGCTTCTCTTCTTCACTTTTTGCTTCTCTTCTTCACTTTTTCCTCTCTTCTTCACTTTTTCCTTTCCCTTTCAACCTTTATTGGTGTCAGGATTGCCATTGTTGACGCGCGATCCACTCGAACAAGATACGAGACGAACCTATCCCGATTGAAATCCAGATTGAAGTCCAGATTGAAATTCGAAACATTTCCAAGAGCAGAGATTTTCTGAGGCCAAATTTAGGAGTACTCAACGGGGAAGTGCAATGGGAAAGGCCCTGTTGTGTGTTTTTATGGGCGAAATTTCCCTCGAGAGGTCCAAAGTTCGTTGTAATGCGAAATTCCCTGTGAAATTCCTATTTTTGGATGTACCCCTTTTTGTTTGATCTTTGGCGCTAGAGTGCATAGATTGAAAAGCAAAAAAGCTGACTGCAGAAATGAAATTGTTTGAGGCTAGTCTTCTTAAGTTCAGTGCGTCCTCTAGAGCTTCAATGGCTTGGGGCTAGGCTTGGGTCGAAGCCCAGCTGAGCAATGCGTCTGCAGATCGGATCCGAAAGGTTGCTTAAAAGTCAATCACCGCTTGCTTTACAAGTCAAACAATAAAATTCACAAGAAACAATATTTTAGAGGTTCTTGAAAGTCCTTTTACAAAAAATGAATCGAAGATGACGTCAAAGATGACATTTGCTGACAGAAATCGACAAATTTTATCAAATTATTAATTATTTGAACGCAAGTTTGTGCTGGCTAAAGAAATCGACAATTATTTTTTGTTCTTCTGATTCGCGAACAAACGGCGAACTAGTGAGTGTTCCCAAAAACGCACTTTTTGGTGCTTTCTTTATCTTATTTGGTATCTTATTCTGGCTTAATAGTAAGGGCTTAACCAAATAGAAATTCTTTTTTCGTATCAAGCTTTATAGGCATCTTGAGTCCAAGATCCAAGAAGATAAGGGCCTAAGCCTAAGCCTAAGCCTAAGACACGAGAATGACCTGAAATTTTGTCAAGATGCTTCGATGGGGGGCGCATGCACACCACCAAACGGGTGTCCCTTAGCTCCGAGAACTGGCTAAGATCCAGAAAATGGGGGTTCAGCCCAAACCCAAATAGACTTAGTGCTAGGCGCTAGCGCTAGCCTACGCAATAAGTCCAAGCCTAAGCCTAAGCCTAAGCCTAAGCCCACAAGTCTTAAACTCCCCCACAAGCCCTTTGGAGTTCCCAGGGTTTGCTGGAGCACTTTTTAGCATGATAATAAGAATAAGATACTAGATAGATCTTTATTCAGGACCTGAAATAAAATGCGATAGATTTCCGATTAGCACATTTGAATTCAGACAAATAACACGAAAAGGGCCGATCAAAAGCAAGACGATATAAATGTATGTAATGGGTAGCACAGAAAACGTCAAGAATCCACTAGAGCTTCAAGAACAAGAGCATCTGCCGATAATTTAAAAGTTTCGAGACTATTGGACTCTCTCAAAACTCTGGGGAGTCGATTCCAAATTTCAAATCCAAATTCCAAACCCAAATTCTGGGAGTTCTTATTGGAAAAGAGTTACTCGAATTGTTTATTTGAAGCTAAAGATGGTATTTCTTCCTGCCATTAACCACATAAAAGCACTGGCTCTACAAGCATTGGCTCTACACTTATTGGAGGTGACTGGAATTTCAAAGCCAAGGCCAAAGCCAAAGCCAAAGCCAAAGCCAAAGCCAAAGCCAATGCCAAAGCCAATGCCAAAGCCAAAGCCAAGGCCAAAACCAAAGCCAAAGCCAAGGCCAAAGCCAAGGCCAAAACCAAAGCCAAAACCAAAGCCAAAGCCAAAACCAATGCCAGAGCCAATTCAAGCTTGAATCGCGTAAGAAAATTGAGTTAGATACAAATCTATTGTCCTTATTCATATTGAAATTCAAGAAAACCCGGCTATTACACACTAAGCCTTTCTGGGCGGCAAATGAATAGGCAAATATTAGCTTTATGGCATAAAAGCTGAACACCGGAACACCGGAGAAATTTTCCTGAATGAACACCCGATGGGGGTAAATATCGAACGGGGAACCCATCGCCCATCTCCTTTCCCTTTTTTTTGCCTAAAGCCTTCGTTCTTTTCCCTTTCAGCTTATGGAAAAAGTGTCCCGATCGCTTCCGAGTTTTTCCACCGATCAGCCATCAAGCGTCGCAAAAGACGTGAAACGAATTTAGCATCTCTGAAAAGGCAAACACAAGAGTGTACCCATGATCAGCTTGACGGGGTGCAAAATTTCGGGATGATGAAATTTCTGGATGTGAATTGGAACAAACTAGAGTCTTATTGCGTTCTCTAAAACGTGGTGACTTTTTGGAAGACTACTGGAAGCTACTGGAAGCTACTGGAAGCTACTGGAAGCTACTGGAAGCTACTGGAAGCTACTGGAAGCTACTGGAAGCTACTGGAAGCTACTGGAAGCCCCGAAGCCACTCGCAAAGCTATTGGAAGCTATTGGAAGCTATTGGAAGCTATTGGAAGCTATTGGAAGCTATTGGAAGCTATTGGAAGCTTGAAAAGATTGAAAAGAACCTAAAGATAACAAAGAAAAAACAACACCTAGTATATAAAAGAATTGCCTACTTTTCCTGATCGATTGATGAATTGAGAAATTCTTTTTGGCACACTAGAGATCAACTTCTGAATGACAGGCTCAAGAGAATCAAGAGATCAAGAGATCAAGAGAATTCCAGACAACTCGAATCATGGTCTTCAATTCACCAACAAAAGCAAATTGACGACGATTTTTGTAAACTTTAAACTGTAAAACTTTTTGCAAACAAGATACCCCACAAATTCTCGATCTGGTTGAGGTCGGGGCTTGACCATTCCATCGCAGCCATTCGCCTTCATTGTTTGTTAAAGTTGCTGAAATGAATTGTTCATTGTCCCGTTGAAATTGGTTGACTCTTTGAGGGTTTTATGCCATAAATGGAAGCAAACTTTTATCCAAAACATCAACAAATTCTTGGTTGTTCATTCGGTTGAAGACAAAACGCGAATCGACCAACCCATCGGTACAGAAAGCTGCCCAGCACATGACATTTCCTCCTCCGAGATTCCTTTTGCCATAAATGATTGGATTTTTCCTTAAATCTTCCCAATAGTGAGTATCCATCAAGATTCCATTTCTTCTCTTCGCTGAAGATAACTTTGGATGAATCTTTTCCCATTAGTGCCTGTGCAAATGCCGATCTAACATCCTTATGCTTCGGCCTGCTGATTGCTGCTGCCTGCTGATTGCTGCTGCCTGCTGATTGCTTCATCAACTTTTCCTGGGTGATCTGAGGCGTTGCTTGAAGAGATCACCAAATCGTCGTTCTGGAAACATCAAGATTGAGCTCTTTTTTGAATTGAGATATCGCTTTTCCATGAATGCTGTTAGCAATTTGACGGATATCTTGATCAGAAAGCTTTTTCTGATGGTTTGCTCATTTTTTCCATATTCAGCCGAGTTTTTAAGGTATCGGGCAAGCGTTTGATGAGAAGATTTCACTTTTGTAGCAATTTTTCGATTGGATACTCCTTGAATATGTAGAAGATCAATTTGGCCTTTTTGATAATCGGTTAGCGACGCACCAGGTGCCATTTACCTATTAAAAGTCAAATCTTACAGTGGTAGAGAAGAAAATTGAGTAAAAAAGAAGCAAAGATGGAAAAATCTAATGATCGATGATGAAGATGATGTGCAACGGTCATTTACCTATTACAATAGTCTTCGGAAAGTTTCTACGAAAGCACATCTAGTGCTTCTCAAGAATAGACTTTTACAGAGTTCCAGTGTTTCAGTGTTTCCGGTGCTACTTTTTGTATGAACTTTATTACAATTTATTCAATCGATTGAATATTTACAAGTTTTCAATCGTTAGAAAGGGTTAGAAAGGCCAGCATGGATTTGGGCATTGTTGAAGGAAAGCCTCGTAGACACCGTGAGTGATCGACATGACCACAGTGTGCGCGGTCGTCTTGTTGAGGGTGGTCTTCGATTTGAGCACCTAGAACTTGGTATGAGACAAATTGCAAATAAAATTGTTTATTTGAAGCTAAAGATGGTATTTCTTCCCGCCATTAACCTCAAAGCACTGGCTCTACAAGCACTGGCTCTACAAGCACTGGCTCTACAAGCACTGGCTCTAGCATTGATTATTGACCATTGACCATTGATCATTGTTCATTGTTCATTGATCATTGATTCAATTCATTGCTCACCTTGTAAAGCCCTTGAAGGGAAACTCCATCTTTTCCCAATTCCTTCATGCAAGCGTTGCCTCCTGTACGCCGATCATCAACCCACAATGGATCCTAAAGTCAAAAAGGTTTCAATTTCTTCTCAATATACGCTGTTGAATGAAATTTGAGTAATATTCTTATCGCTCACTTGTTGTGGATCGTAGTTGGTCATCAACAAGTACCAATCATTGTTCCCGTCGTGCAACTTGAGCTCCTGTTCAACGCTGGTCGCGTTGCGGATGATGATCGTGCCTTGGCCTAAATTGAGTTGATTGATTTTAAAAACAAAAACAACCAAGTTCTTTGCCACCAAGAATGTAGTAGCAGTTGGACATTTGTTGAACGTTTGACAAGTAGGTTCTCGCTTCCTGAATAGAGTAGTGGATTGATGCACTTTGTCATTGGCTCGGCCATTGGCTGACTTTGAGCTCGAATATCTCGGTATTGAGCCGTTCAATTTGAATAGTTTTTGTATCAATCGATAGAGAAAGACTTGGCGCATCTAATGATATTAAGAATGTTGAAATCGGACATCCCAACACCAAGATATTTGAGCTCAAACTTAGATTGCCAATGGCAAAAGGGGCAGGGCGATGGACCTTTTATACGCGCCCCGCCCCCGTTGCCATTGGCAAGCCAACTTTGAGCTCAAATATCTTGGTAATGAGCTGTTCATTTTGAATAGTTTTTGTACCAATCGATAGAGAAAGATTTGACGCATCTAATAATACCAAGAAGCTTTAAATTAGACAGACCAACACTAAGATATTTAAGCTCAAAGTTAGATTCCCAATGGCAAAGGGGCGGGGCGTGAATAAAAAGTCCAATAACCATAAACCAAGGCTGGCTAGGCTAGGTCAGAGGCTAGGTCAGAGGCTAGGTCAGAGGCTAGGTCAGAGGCTAGGTCAGAGGCTAGGTCAGAGGCTAGGTCAGAGGCTAGGTCAAAGGCCTGATCTAGTCCTGGCTGGCCTGCAAAGTTGCAAGATCAATCCCTGGGCCAAGTCAGGCTAAAGCCAGATATGATTATGATTTCCCTGATCTGGCCTAACAATTTGGTCCTAGAATCACCCTTGTTTTAAATCAAAAAATCCGATTCCGAACCTCAAACGTGGTCGCATTCTCCATGACCTGTCTCTCGACCCACATCGCGAAATTGGTATCCTTGAGATCTCCCGTCAGCCATTCCATCAACAATCCATAGTCGCTCACCTCTTTTGCGTTCATCGACAGTGTGAACTCGCCCATTCTCATCCCTGAACAAGTTTCGTTAAAAATCGAAAAAAATAACAAACCAGTGATGATTCCAGTGTGTCCGGCAAAAGTGGTTCCCTTGTAGAGTAACTTTCCGCCCTTCATGAAGTTGATGTTCACCGTCACTTGTCTCAACGTATCAGTCAAATCCCAAGTCTCGATTTCTGGATCCCAAATGAAGAGCTGACCAAAGTCAAGGTTTCTAAAGAGATGGTTGTGGTCAGAGATGTCCTAGACAGTTCTAAAGCCAGTAAGCTAGACCAGGTTTAAGCTAGCTAGACAGTAAGCTAGACAAGGCGTCAGCTAGCTAGCCAGTAAGCTAGACGTTGAAGCCAGGGTGGGTGGCTCTTTGTGGAGCAATCTTGGCCAGACTTGAAGCAAAGCGAAGAAGGTCAGGCTTAAATTGCTTTGTTTACCTTGCGTGCCACATCGAGTTATCGCTCGACTCAGCCACAATCGACGTGCACCAACGGGACAACTCGTAAAAAACATTCATCATCGCGATTTGCTCGACTGGGATCCCAACAACGTCGGCAATTCCCTAGATTTTATAATATGGATACAAAGTAGCCACCAGATCCTTCACTGTACTGCACTTTTATCTAATCTAACTAGGGAAAGGCACGAATTTCCCTGAGCTTTCCGGATCACAAACATCTTACTAAATCGAGTCTGGAGATTCATAATCTGAAATCAAAATCTGCCAACTAAGAAAAGAAGAAAAAAAGAACGAAGGCGGGCTCGAACCCCCACCTTGCCAGCGAAAGGCCTTCTCACTAACCACTAGGCCACCAGACCCTGTAGCCTTTCGATTAAAAATGGGTATTTAAAGAGCTTATCTTCCAGATTTCAATTAAATTTTTGCGCTTTTGCGAAGATAAGCTTTAAAGGTCACTTTTCAATCAGAGGAATGTCGGAGGCGGTGGTCTAGTGGATAGCGGGACAGCCTCTGGCGTGCAGGACGGGGGTTCGGTCCCGCTGATGGTTTTTGTTTTTTTTTTCTTTTTTGATTACAGATTTTGATTTCAGATTATGAATCTCCACACTCGATACAGGTTATGTATCTCCATACTTCAAGAGGTATGTGTTCCGGAAAGGAAAGCTCACAGAAGGTTTGTCTCTTTCCATAGTAAGTATAGCAATATCTTACTATGGAAAGAGTATCTTTGAATTTGAATATCTTTGAATAATCCAAAGATCAAAGATCTTTAATCTAATCTTTGAATAATCTATGAATAATTTCTGATATCCTACTTGAATCTCATCACTGTATGGAGCGGGGTATCGTCCACCCTCGTACGCGTCACGGAACCACCCCTCAATCATCTCGAAAACGGGCGCATCACCGAAGATCATTTGAACCATGCTCTAAAAAAAGTTTCTTTTGACTTTTGCGACAAGATTCCATGGTCTTTTTGAATCTCACCTGTAAGACTCCCAAAACCGGTGGGATTTTGTCCTTGTAGACTTGAGCAATTTCTTGATAACGCTCGTGTGGTGGAGCGTCCAAGTCGACGTCGAACCATGGGACCTAGAAATGAAAACTCTAATAATTTCCACAAATAATTCTACAAGAAATACCTACAGTAGCGGACATAATTTTGGAAACTTTTGTTTTTTCTAAAAAAATTCTCTCAGTAAAATCTGATTCGGTATGTTTACAAGCGAAAATATGTAGACCTAAAAAGCACGTAATAATCCATAGACAACTGCTGAACTGCTGAACTCTTTGAAAACTATTATTTTTAATGCATTTATCTATAAACCCAGAGGACATAAATTTGGAAACTTTCATAAAAACCTCAGCTATATTACTTTTTTGTTCTATTTTTATCTTTTTAAACCTCTACTAATTATTTTAACTTTTTTTTTATAGATGGGCAGCAAGAAAGAGACTTCAACAGAGAAATGCGAAGATGTTGTATGGATGCACCAAAATAGGCAAATGCAGACATTTATCGCTCGATCCCTTGGTCTTTCAAAGAGTACTGTATCAAAAATTTTAAAAAGATACGCTCGAACTGGAACAGCAAATACTCATAAGCATACGGGAAAACACAGAAAGACCACAAAACGAGATGGTTTGCAGATGAAATACTCTTTCAAAGGCTGACCCAAAGCAGTCGTCGGTCGAGATTTACGCCGATTTGCCTGACAAAGTCAAAAAGAAAATTAGTTCAAAGACAGTACAACGTCATTTACCCGGATTTGGATTGTTTGGTCGACGTCCTGCTCATAAGACGCCGATCTCTGCAAAGATTCGCAAGCTTCGAGGCAAAATCACAGAAGAGCATCGATATTGGACGGCTCAACAATGGTCTATTTGCCTCTTTTCGGACAAAGGTAAGTTCGCATTGTTTGAATCTGATGGCTTTCGATATGTTCGTCGTCATGCCAACAAAAGGTTCAGTAAAGGATACGTAATTCCGACTTTGAAGCATGACGGTGGTAGTGATCTTGTATGGAGTGGCTTTTCAGCTTACGGAATGATCCCATTAAAATGCACTGATGGAATTATAGACAAACGTGCTTGCTTGGACATTTTATCGAAACATAAGCTTCCCTCCAGTTGAATGCCTTTCAGTTGATGCCTTCCAACTTTCTTTTTCGACAGGGCAAACATACTTCGAGGGGCTTGTAAAGGACTGGCTTCAGAAGGAAGGAATTATTTTATGGAATGGCCGAGCCAGCGTTCTGATTTAAACCATATCGAACATCTATAGGAAGTTCTGGAGAGAGCCTGTCAGGCGTTCAGAGCCATAATCTTAATGAAAAATTCGAGCTTTTGGCTAAGAAGTGGATGGAAATTCAAACAACAACCATCGACAACTTGGTCGCTTCGATGAGCGCTCGGTGCCAGACTATTATTGATCCTAAAGGATCTTCCACAAAGTATTGAATTGATTTATTTGTTTTTGTTTTAATTTAGAAGTTTAATGGTTTGTTACGTTATTATTTAGAGTTGCTTTTAAAAGTTTCCAAATTTATGTCCTCTGGGTTTATAGATAAATGCATTAAAAATAATAGTTTTCAAAGAGTTCAGCAGTTCTGTCTATGGATTATTACGTGCTTTTTAGGTCTACATATTTTCGCTAGTAAACATACCGAATCAGATTTTACTGAGAGAATTTTTTTAGAAAAAACAAAAGTTTCCAAAATTATGTTCGCTACTGTATGTCAATTTGATTTTAGTTTACTTGAGTAACATTCGCAATAACAATGACCAAGCAATCACAATTGAACTCTTTGTGGGAGAGGTGGATTAGAACCCACAACCTTTCGCCTACCGGGTAAAAGCCAATGAATTAGAAGCTTCATTTTTTCACCCCTCATTGTTCTTGGGCTTTGCAAGTTCTGTTCTAGTTCTCCTTTTGTTTGTTTGCAATCATTTTCCACCCCTTTCCTTATTTGTAGTTTAATTTCAATTCAAAAACTCAATGAACTGTTTGAAGAAAAGAGAAAAGCTTGGGAATCTAACTTTGAGCTCAAATATCTTGGTGTTGGTCTGTCTAATTTAAAGCTTCTTGATATCATTAGACTCGCCAAGTCTTTCTCTATCGATTGGTACAAAAACTATTCAAATTGGACAGCCCAACACCAAGATATTTGAGCTCAAACTTAGATTGCCAGTGGCAAAAGGGGCCGGGCGATGGACCTTTTATACGCGCCCCGCCCCCGTTTGCCATTGTCAATTGAACTCTTTGTGGAAGAGGTGGATTAGAACCCGCAACCTTTCGCCTACCGGGCAAAAGCTTTACCAATGAATTAGAAGCTTCATTTTTTCACCCTTCATTGTTCTTCGGCTTTGCAAGTTCTGTTCTAGTTCTCCTTTTGTTTGTTTGCAATCATTTTCCACCCCTTGCCTTATTTGTAGTTTAATTTCAATTCAAAAACTCAATGAACTGTTTGAAGAAAAGAGAAAAGCCAGTTCAAACCCCAGCTGCTACTTTCCCATTGCGCTTTTATCAGCTTTTATTTGGGGCAAAAAAAACGCTTGAAGTATGTACGTCAGATAACTGACATGTGCTCAGAAAGATAAACAGAAATCGCGGATTTGAAATTTCCCGCAAGAAATTTCAACGAAATCCCAATGATATCATTGCATGGTGAAGAATGGTCGAACTATCGATATCGATATAGAAATATCGATATTGTTGACCAATGAATAGTCCGAATTTGGTTCAAATTTGAATTTTACAATCGAAAATCCGTTTACAAATCATTTTTTGCTCCATTCGATTAATAAATCGTTTTATGCAGGGCTTCAAAAAGGGTCAGACAAGTCTAAAAGTAGTACAGGGTGGCGCACAATTGCATTTACAACTCTAAAAGTAGTACAGGGTGGCGCACAATTACATTCTGATCATCGGCTTTTGTCGGATTCGTGGCATTCGTGAGAATTAGCTCAAAAGTCTAACTACTTTGTTAGTGAGTCTAGTAGCCTCATGAGTCTAGTAGTGAGTCTAGTAGTGAGTCTAGTAGTGAGTCTAGTAGTGAGTCTAGTAGCTTCATGAGTCTAGTAGTGAGTCTAGTAGTGAGTCTAGTAGCTTCATGAGTCTAGTAGTGAGTCTAGTAGCTTCGTGAGTCTAGTAGTGAGTCTAGTAGTGAGTCTAGTAGCTTCATGAGTCTAGTAGTGAGTCTAGTAGCTTCATGAGTCTAGTAGTGAGTCTAGTAGCTTCGTGAGTCTAGTAGTGAGTCTAGTAGTGAGTCTAGTAGTGAGTCTAGTAGCTTCATGAGTCTAGTAGTGAGTCTAGTAGCTTCATGAGTCTAGTAGTGAGTCTAGTAGCTTCGTGAGTCTAGTAGTGAGTCTAGTAGCCTCATCGCATTTCGGTTTGTCTTTGCATCACTAATTTTCTTGTCAGATTGTTTTGTTTTGTTGTTTTTTTTGTTAATTTGTTAGTGGTTTGTTTGGGTTCACTTTTTGGAGTCTGTAAATACATTGAGTCTGTAAATATATTGAGTCTGCCTATCCCTCATTCATCCGCCTTCGTTTTTGAATAAATTGAATTTAATCAATTTAATCAATTAAATCAATTTAATCAATTTAATCAATTAAATCAATTAAATCAATTAAATCAATTAAATCAATTAAATCAATTAAATCAATTTAATCAATTTAATCAATTCGTTAGTTCAAATAGTTCAAATTCACATTTTTAACTTTGATCCCTAATCGAAATTCATTGTTTTCTAGTAGAAATTAGTTAGATTTTGGAAATAATAAGTAAGAATAAGTAAAAATAAGTAAAAAGGAGTAAATGAAACCGGTTTTCTTTGATTTTCAGCGTTTGAAACTAGTGAAAAACTAGAAAATCGCGATTCGACTGCAGGAAACGCATGAAACGCGTGTCGCAACTTTGCAGCGCTCTAGCAAAAATTTAGAAACTAACTAGAAACTAGTTAGTTAGCTAGTTAGTTAACTAATTAGTTTACTGGTTAACTAGTTAGTTTACTAGTTAACTAGTTAGTTTACTAGTTAGTTAACTAGTTAGTTTACTAGTTAGTTAACTAGTTAGTTAACTATTTTGCTCACCTTTCCCAACTCGGCATCATCCCAAGCGGTCGGGTCATTCACACGACATTCGGGGTTAAACGGTGCGGGTGGAGGCTGTACTTTGCTGGACAAAGCCTGAATTTCTTAATTAGATTCACTTAAAACTTGGAAGCATAATAGATTGGGTATGCTGGATTAACTTTATAGCGTAATCTTGCCTATAGCTTTTTGGCAATCTGATTTTACCTACAGCCTGTACCCCTACAGCAACAGCCTGTACTCCTACAGCTACAGCATGTACTCCTACAGCTACAGCCTGTATACCTATAGCTACAGCCTGTACCCCTATAGCTACAGCCTTACCTATAGCTATAGCCTGTACCCCTATAGCTACAGCCTGTACCCCTATAGCTACAGCCTGTACCCCTATAGCTACAGCCTGTACCCCTACAGCTACAGCCTGTACCCCTATAGCTACAGCCTGTACCCCTATAGCTACAGCCTGTACCCCTACAGCTACAGCCTGTACCCCTATAGCTACAGCCTGTACCCCTACAGCCTGTACCTCTACAGCCTATATACCTTTAGATAATGTGAAGTTTCATTTAACCAATGTAGATTCAATGAAAACTAAAGCCAGGATTACGGTAGCTTTAAAAAATCACCCATTTTTGCAAATGCAAACGAAAAAACGATAGCTTTATTGTTTTCATGGATTGTAACCAATTTTCGTGAGCTAACGTAACCAGTTTCGGTTACGGTAGCTTCATAAAGCCTATTGTAGTCCAACCTTAGCCTCAGACTCAGGAAACAGTAAATCTACTGGCTAAGACTAATAGTAAATGATCGTTTTTCAAAAAAAATCACTCACCACAGCGAAAAGTGCGAAAGCGATCACTTCGACTCTCATAATTTATGAGTTTGAAAAGGCGACGAGCCAAAGTGATCACAAGCAATCAGCCAGGCAATCACTCGACACGGTAACCCCTTTTTTCTTATCATTTCTTCCATTTCTCTTCACTCCCATTGGCATTTTTTTCCCATTCTTTCACTCTGATAGAATATTCAGTGTACATGGAGATCAAAAACACAAGAAAAAAATCGCGTCTCTATTTCTAATCGAAAATGGAACTTGAGCAGAATATCTCTAGTTTAACCAGGGAATATCTCTAGTTTAATCAACGAATCCGCTTTTGCTGAATGTGCGAAAATCCGGGAAGAGATTTACAGTGAGAAATTTGATTTACACTTTTGGATAAACAATTTTATGGAATAATTAAAGTGTAAGTTATTGTGTAAGAATGGTATTGGGTTGGTGAATTGAAAACTGTTTATAATATTATTGGATACTATACTAAAAAGGAATTTATGGCCTTCTTTAGTGTCATTTTTTGATGGCATTGAAAACCAAAAGGAAATATTGGGTTGGTGAATTGAAAACTGCCGGCTATTGTCATATGTGACAGTTTGAGCACTTTCTTCAAAAGAAACCCATTTTGGTGTCAATGGAAAAGTTGTAGGGGAAATGAAATGGCGGAAAATGAGGGGAAGGGGGAGGGGGGGGGGGTTACGGTATCTGTCTGTCTTTCTGTCTGTCTTTCTGTCTGCCTTACTGTATGGGCATTTTTTCAGCCGTATTTTGATCAATATTTCATTTTGCATGGATATTATATTTTAAGTTGTTTTTGGTGTCATTCGATGCGTAATTTCATTCTGCATCAAATGATAGTTAAAATAGTCAATATATTGGGTTGTTGAATTGAAAACTGCGGGCTATTGTCATATGTGACAGTTTGAGCACTTTCTTCAAAAGAAACCCATTTTGGTGTCAATGGAAAAGTTGTAGAGAATCAAAAATGAAGCTTATATCCAAATTTTCAGAACGATTCAAAAACTGGTTTTCAAGAAATGCCAAATTTACGAATTTTCACAAAACTTGCATTTTAAGCGAAACTACTAAGTGTATCTTTTTGGAAATTTGGCTATAAGCCTAATTTTTGATTCTCTACAACTTTTCTATTGACACCAAAATGGGTTTCTTTTGAAGAAAGTGCTCAAACTGGGATCGCCAGTCTCCATCTCCAGTCCTCCATTTTTGAGTCTCACACTTGTCTCACACACAAACCAAAATCCTACTACGAAAGAGAAATCCGCAAATTGTCTGTAAAATGGGTAGAAGTCGTCAATAATAATGGAAATTCTTTTGAATGAATTGATGGTTTTATGTTGAATAAATTTTAGTTCAAAGTCCCGCAGTTTTCAATTCACCAACCCAATATTTCAATATTAAAAATCTGTGATCTCGGATACAGTTCAATAGAGGGTTGAGGTAGAGGGTAAGCCCTGTGCCAAAGCACAGCTCGCTCCAACTGAGCTGAAACACTTCAACTGGCTTACTTCAACTGGCTTAAACACTTCAACTGTTTGTGTACATCACTGTTTGATACAGATAATCTTTTGAAAGAGTTTTTTTGCTGTTTTAATTCAAAAGCTTTCACGATTTATTCCTAAAAAATAAACTAGCATTGAAAAATTGAAATTTCTGAAGATTTCTGAAGATTTCTGAAGATTTCTGAAGATTTCTGAAGATGCAGAATAAAATTACCCGTCGAATGATACCAAAACCAACTCAAAATGTGATATCCATGCAAAGTTATGCAGCAAACGGTTAAGTCCGGTCCATAATGGGCCGGGGTTTATATTTTTAGCCAACAACTTTGCGTGGATATTATATTTTGAGTTGATTTTGGTATCATTCGACGCGCAATTTTATTCTGCATCGAATGGTAGTCACTATATAGTCAGATTGCCTCGAAATCGCTCATTTGTTGGGATTGTTTTGGGGTTTTACTTTGGGATTCGATTTCTTTTAATTTCTTGAATTCATTTGGGTTTACTTTTAGGCGGAAAGTAGGAAAAACGATACTAAATGACTAAATCATTTACATAACTAGGAAAAAGCATAGTACAGTAAGCATAGTACAGTAAACATAGTACAGTAAACATAGTATAGTAAAATCCGAAAATAAATAGGCTAAAGCTCGAACGCTGAAAGGCAAGTGATCGAGTGTACGGGCTTCCACTTCGACTCGTTCACTAGATCTCTTGCGTTTGCGCTGAAAGGCAAGTGATCGAGTGTACGGGTTTTCGCTTCAACTCGTTCACTAGAATCTCTTGCGTTTGCGCAGAATCGTTTCTAGCGTCTCTTTCTCGTTAGTAATCCATCGAAAAGGTGGATAATTTGAAAAACGACCGTAATCTTTCCAGATTTAGTCCATTTTGATCGAGCTTTTCATTCAAATCACCGTTTTTCCCATTCAAATCACCGTTTTTCTTTCATTAAAACTGATTTAAACAGGTTTTCCTCATCAAATGAGATTGAAACTGAATAAACTGGAGAACCTGAAGATTACGGTAGTTTTTTAAAGTATACATTTATTAGAAAACGTTAGAAGACTAGTGGAAAATCACTTAAAAACAAAAATCGCGAGATAGAGAAAAAAAAATTACAGAGTAAACCTCAAATTTCACAATTTTTTTGGCTATATCTTGGCTGTAAATCGGTTTAATTCCTTTTTAATATTAGAATTGCAATGATTTTCTATCGAGATACTGTAGAGATTTCTTTATTTCTTTATTTCTTTATTTCTTTATATTGTAGAATGTTTTTTGAGATCTCCATTAAAGGTTTAGACGATAAGCTAAAAAAAACCCTTGATAAGCATTATTTAAGCTCTTTCTATTTTATTTTTTTTTTTAATTTATTTTAAATAAAAAAAAATAATTTAAAAAAAAAATTAAAATTTTTTTTTTTTTTTTTTTTTTAAAAAATTTTTTTTAAAAAAAAATTTTTTTTTTTTATTTTTTAAAAAAAAAAAAAAAAAAAAATTTTTAATTATTTTTTTTTTTTTTTTATTAAAATTTTTTTTTTTAAAAAAAAAAATTTTTTTTTTTTTTTTTTTTTTTTTTTAAAAAAAAAAAAAAAAAAAAATTTTAAAAAATAATATTAATTTTCAAAATGAAATCGGCTTTTTTTCACTTCTTTTCATAAATTTAGGCTTTGTGCAGAAAAGTAGCTCTTTTCTGTGAAAACTTATTTGAAAAGATCAAGAAAGGGCGCCGGGGTGTTTGGATTTCTCTCAAAAAATCCGAGGACAGGCATGAGACTGCGAGAATGGGAGGGGAGGGGGGGGGACGGGGGTACCGTAAAAACGGATTGACAAACAAGTCATTTTTAAGTGATTTTTGAGTTGATTTCGAGTTATTTGAATTCATTTTGAGTAATTTTAAGTGATTTTTAAGTCATTTAAGCGAATTTTATGTGTTCCCTTTCAATTCTCCGAGAGCCAACTCAAAAAGGGTCAGACAAGTCTAAAAGTAGCACAGGATGGCGCACAATTGCATTCTGATCATCGGCTTTTGTCGGATTCGTGGCATTCGTCGGAGAATTAGCTCAAAAGTCAAAAGAATTAGCTCAAAAGTAAAAACGGATTGACAAACAAGTCATTTTTAAGTGATTTTTGAGTTGATTTCGAGTTATTTGAATTCATTTTGAGTAATTTTAAGTGATTTTTAAGTCATTTAAGTGAATTTTAAGTGTTCCCTTTCAATTCTCCGAGAGCCAACTTTAATCGATGAAATTTTTGGCAGCTTTCAAGAGAAATTCCCCGAAAACGCCGTTTTTTTTTTCATCTAGAGCTCATAAAAACATAAAAACATGTTGAATAACATTTGTTTTAAGCTTTTTTAATCAGAAAATATTCAAATAAACCATATCAGAGTGCTTAAAACCTGCCAAGATATAGCCAAAAAAAACTGCGAGACGATAATTTGTAAAATTCTACAATATAGAATAAGCTAAAATGTAGAAAACGCTAAAATAAACAAAACGACAATAAACAAGAGAGCTAAGCAATGGAAAAGTGGAACGGATTTGAAGAGAAAGTTGCAAATTTAGCTTCGAATCTTGACTACTTATCAGCTATGATGACTGTACTTTGTGCACAGAAATGCACCCACATCTGGTCCACTGAATCCCTGTCTTTCCTTGGGACACTGCAGGAAAAGATATGCGCTAGAAAGTAGGGGTTTCCAAATTTGAGCACAAAGCACAAGACAAAGCCAGAAGACAAGCTAAAGTGCTTCAATTTGACTTTTATTTGGCATCTCATAGAACTGATAAGTACTCAGTGAATGAACGAAAGTGCTCAAGCCTCAAGACTCAAGACTCAAGACTCAAGCCTCAAGGCTCAAGCCTCAAGCCTCAAGACTCAAGCCTCAAGCCTCAAGACTCAAGCCTCAAGACTCAAGCCTCAAGGCTCAAGCCTCAAGACTCAAGCCTCAAGGCTCAAGCCTCAAGCCTCAAGCCTCAAGCCTCAAGACTCAAGACTCAAGATCAGTATTCATATTGATACCCTTGCATTCGGACAACATCAGATCCCTCGATTTTCTCATAATGATCCCCTCCAGCGCCGACACTCGGCACCCCGTTTACTCCGTTTGAAACGGCGCTTGCCTGAAAAATTGTTTGGAAATTTCTGGTTTCTGGCTTCAGAATGGATAAACAACACAAAAAAATCAACATTCAATCAAAATCTTGATCAAGATCCAGGCCTGGGATGGGGCAAGATTTGAATCAGATTGGAAGACAGGCCCTGGCTTCTCTAGCATTGTCTTGCTTGGTTTGGCCTAGCTTACAGTTGTTTGTAATAACCTTGGATGGCAGAATATCTTCAGCTGTGAATTTTCGGCAGTTTTTGGCACTTTTTGGCATTTTTTGGCAGTTCCTTGCCAGCTTTCGGCAGTTTTTGGCAACTCGGGAGAGGGGTTTTGATAGTTTAGCGCATTTGAAAGGAGAATACCTATATATTGGCAGCGTGTGCCAGATGGAGAGCGATTGTGAGCGCACACAAAGGACACTTCGACAGTCATTTACAGGATTTCTCTTTTGCTTTGAAGATAGCGTAAAAAGAAGATATTGAGCTTAAATTTGTAAGGTTTAAGATCGCGAATCGATTCACGCTATCTACACCCGCATTCTCTCGGGTCTATCTATGGAATCTTCTGCGTCAACTGAGTAAAACAAGTTGTTACACTTGTTAAAACATCTCAAAGTTTGTTAAGAAGTATACTTGGCTAATTAGGGACTCTGAAGACTTTTTGCTTGATATAATAATATAATATTATTAATATTATGAGCATAAGTAGGTTACTGAGATATTTTCTACTGAATTTCCTTTTCTGATAGAGATTTGTTGAGAGAAGTGTCTAGAAGGTCTCGATCCCGAGCTCCCCTTGCTAAACTCAAGAAAATGAATAGCTCCAATCGATTCCCCGTCCCCGAAAACCCCAGGGTACAAATTTACAGCTTAATATCTTTATTTTGGGCAAAGCAAAAGAGAAATCTCTGTATTGGCGCGGCGTTCTTTGCGTGACCGCGTAAGCGACCTGGCATACTTGTCTGGTGTAAAAGGCTTTTGGAATCGATTGATCGTTTGCATTCAATCAAAAATCTTGCGTGCAAACGAAAGCTTTTAAAAAAATAGGTTCCTTTTTGAATCGAAATCTTGAAATGATTGCTTTTCTCTTACCTGAATATCTCAATCAAATTCTCAAACTAAAAACAAGATTGAGGGCATAGAAATGGGTTTTAAAGCTGAACTAACTGAGTTTCTTGTTACCAAAAAAAACAGCAGCCATTCATTTACCTCATTTACCTCATTTTCCCGCTTTATTGGTGGCGGATCTCTCAACAAGAACATCAATGGAGCGTAGATGAAATTGATGATTGCGATCAGGTACATCATGCTGTAAAACAGAAGTAAATCATACTGTAAAACAGAAGTATCAATAACCAAAGCTTCACCTTCAAGTAATTGACTTTCTAAAGCACAACAAAGCTTCAAAAGCTTCAAAGCTCAAAGCTTCAAAGCTTCAAAGCTCAAAGCTCAAAGCTCAAAGCTTCAAAGCTCAAAGCTCAAAGCTTCAAAAGCTTCAACAGCTTCAACAGCTTCAACAGCTTCAACAGCTTCAAAGCTCAAAGCTTCAAAACCTTCAAAACCTACCGTATCCTTGCTCTACTTTTTACCCAGTTTACAATAAATACAATTCTTTCCCTAATTCTTTTGACAATCCGAAAAATAAAGTTTTAGAGAGATGCGGAAAAGCTATTGGATTAGTTTTGGGGAAAAGCTATTGAATTAGTTTTTTTCTCATTGAATTAGCTTTTTTTTCATTGAAAAGAGCATGTTTTAAAGGTCAAATTGAAGCCCGAGATACCTTATGAAACGCACTGTATTATAGGCTTACTGTGAGCTCGAAAAAGACACAAAATGATTGGATCTCTTTAAAACTCTTCAAAAACTCACGTCGGGAATCCAACCGATCTCACTAGAGGCCCCGAACAGAAAGGACCTAACGCGAAAGCGAAACAGAAAGCCGCATCAGCAATGGCGTAAATGCTTCCGTAAACGCCGACATGTCGAATATCCACCAAATAGCCCATCAATGGGAACATTGAGGCGTCGATCATACCTTGAATGTTGAGAATGAATGAGAATGAATCGTGAATTGTTGGGAATGATTTTGAGTACAGTTTCGGACAGTTCCCGAAAGCCCACATCATCAAGCTAATCAAGCTAATTGTACACTACTGGACAATGAAATACGATATTTGAAAAAAGATCGTCACTTTCGCACGTCTGTAACTCCGTTGTCTTTACCGTATTTCTAAATATTAATATTACCATTGTGTAGCCCTTGAAAAGAACTTTCAGAAAATAGAAAAGAACGAAGAAAAAAAACCGAGAGCGGGCCCGAACCCTCATCTTGCAAGCGAGAGGCCTTCCCACTATCCACTAGGCCACCAGCCCCTTTATCCCCGTGATTAAAAATGGGCCTTTAAAGAGTTTATCTTTGAAATTTCAATTTTTTCTTTTTTTGCCCGAAGATAAGCTTTAAAGCCCGCTTTTCAATCACGGGGTTATTGGCACCGATGGCCTAGTGGATAGTGGGTCAGCCTCTGGCGTGCAGGACGCGGGTTCGGTTCCGCTGGTGTTTTTTGTTTTTTTAGTGCAAGACAAGGCGATTATTCGACAGGACAGGTCGACAAACTCCCCTCATACCTTGAAGGTGTTGAGGCCAGTTGCGCGTTGTGTCAGTGGCAGGGAAAGTCCACTTACATCTTTCAAATACGTGTAAACATACACACGTATATCAATTTTAGAAACCACATCCCAATTTTATTCTACCGCTACCCTCATGGAAACTTTATCAAAGTTCATATACTCGAAATGATTTCAACTCCAAGTGCGCTTACCTATTGAGAAACCCATGCAGAAGTGCGGGATAATAAGTCCGCCCACCGAAGTAGCCGATGGGATCAACAATAGACAGAAACCAATCACCACCAAGCCAATAAACGCTGATAGCCATCTAAATTTCATCTTTATACTTGTTCAACAAGTTTTTCTCTTCATTCTCCGCAAACCTTCCCATCTTGTGGGCCAAAGGCCCGAAAATGTTTGTCCCGATGAGGTAAGAGATCGAAGCGGGCAAGAAAGCGATGCCTGCAATAGTTAAATTGTGCAAATTTATGCAAATTTATATACTTTATTAGATATGATTATCTTAGATTTATAAAATTTCAATAAAAATCAATCTAACCTCTCTCAAACGATCCGGCTTGCCAGCTCTCCATCATCCACAAGGGAAGCGATGGCTCAAGCATTGCAATCCCCAAATTGCCAATGGTGATAGCTCCTAGAATTTGGATATTAAGAAAATATTTAAAAAAAAAAAAAAAAAATAAAAAAAACAAAAAAAAAAAAAAAAAAAAAAAAACCCCTTTCTTCAAAAAACAAAAAAAAAAAAAAAAAAAAAAAAAAAAAAAAAAAAAAAAAAAGGGGGAGGGGGAAGGGAAAACGGTATCTGTCTGTCTTTCTGTCTGTCTTTCTGTCTGCCTTACTGTATGGGCATTTTTTCGGCCGCATTTTGCTCAATATTTCATTTTGCATGGATATTATATTTTAAGTTGTTTTTGGTGTCATTCGATGCGTAATTTCATTCTGCATCAAATGATAGTTAAAATAGTCAATATACTGGGTTGATGAATTGAAAACTGCCGGCTATTGTCATATGTGACAGTTTGAGCACTTTCTTCAAAAGAAACCCATTTTGGTGTCAATGGAAAAGTTGTAGAGAATCAAAAATAAAGCTTATATCTAAGTTTTCAGAACGATTCAAAAACTGGTTTGGAAGAAATGCAAAATTGACGAATTTTCACAAAACTGGCAACAAAACTTGCAACAAAACTTTTTTAAGCGAAACTACTAAGTGGATCTTTTTGGAAATTTGGCTATAAGCCTAATTTTTGATTCTCTACAACTTTTCTATTGACACCAAAATGGGTTTCTTTTGAAGAAAGTGCTCAAACTGGGATCTCCAGTCTCCATCTCCAGTCCTCCATTCTTGAGTCTCACACTTGTCTCACACACAAACCAAAATCCTACGACGAAAGAGGAATCCACAAATTGCCTTTAAAATCGGCAGAAGTCGTCAATAATAATGGAAACTATTTGGAATGAATTGATGGTTTTATGTTGGATAAATTTTCGTTCAAAGTCCCGCAGTTTTCAATTCGGCAACTTAAATATTCTAGGATTTTTAATGATTTTCTTGATTTTCTTGTATTCTAATATATTCTAATATTTTTATCATAATCTATTTTCTATTTAGATTACCAGCAGCTACGATGATGAACGGATCCTTCGCGAGTTGTTTTATCGATGATCCCTCGGGCTCACTGCGATCAATTTTTGGTTGAAGAACGAGGAATTGCAAGCCTAAGATGGAAAAATTGTACGATTTTATTTGTAAATAATATTTCAAAGCTTACTTCCATCAAATAGTGCCAAGAGGGCGAGCAGGATGAAGGGAAGTGGCTTGCCCGCCCACTCGTAGAGTACTCCTCCGTACGGTGGACCCACCAGAACACCTGAAAACATAGCTTTGTTTCAGAGATATAGATGTTGATAAGTATACAGTAAACTTTGTTAGTAAAGCTTTGTTAGTAAAGCTTTGTTAATAAGCCTTTCTTCTCAAGCTAGTCTTCCTAGTGAACCCGGAAAGCACCACAATGCGCATAGAGATCTTTCAAAATCCTCACAAAAAACCGATGCTTTCTAGACATTCAATAGATTAATAGATTACTGTATACTAAGCATACAGTAATCTTGGGCTAGAGTAACCCTAAAGCCGAAGTTGACCTTACTAGTAAGCAATTAGCTTTAATCAATTAGCAATTAGCTCAGCGGATACTTTGCACTACTGACAAGGGAATGTAAACTGGGTGTAGTGACATTTGCCATTCGATGCAGAATTCAACGCTGATTCCGAATCTATTTTCCGTTTCTACTATGAAGCATTCTGTCAAAAGTGATAAGCATGCAAAGTTTTGTATGGGATTTTAAAACTCACTCCGAATTTATTGCGCAGAGACTTTTAAAGCATTGATGGCCAGATTCCCCAGAGCCTTTAAGGAGTAGTGGCCAAGTGGCAGTGGGTTAGAATACAAAGCAAAGCCTCTCTAGTTCGAGTTCGAATCCGCTGCTTTACCTTGTTCTTTTGTTTTTTTTTGAATTTGCAAAGTTAATTAATCACGGGGGACACTGACAATGTTTTACTTTATTTATTGAATTTAATAATTCAATCTAAACTAGTTAGTAGTTTTAGACGAATCAGTTAAACAAACCTAAAGCCAATCCACCGAGCGCAATCCCAATAGCACTTCCACGCTCGGCGTCGTCTGGATACGCTTGAGCCAACATTCCCATGCCTAAAATCAATAAAAAAACTTCTTAATAGTTAAATAGTACAATATTATACTGTAAAATCGTTTACTATTATGTAAAATGGTATAATATTATGTAAAATATTCAACTATTGGGTTGGTGAATTGAAAAATGTTTATAATATTATTGATACTTACTAAAAGGATTATGGCCTTCTTTGGTCATTTTGTGGCATTGAACCAAAGGAAATATTGGGTTGGTGTTGCTGCCGCTTTGTCATATGTGCAGTTTGGCCTCTTCAGCCCATTTTGTAGTTGTGGGTGGGGGGGGGGGGGGGGGGTTACGGTATCTGTCTGTCTTTCTGTCTGTCTTTCTGTCTGCCTTACTGTATGGGCATTTTTTCAGCCGTATTTTGATCAATATTTCATTTTGCATGGATATTATATTTTAAGTTGTTTTTGGTGTCATTCGATGCGTAATTTCATTCTGCATCAGTTAAAATAGTCAATATACTGGGTTGATGAATTGAAAACTGCGGCCTATTGTCATATGTGACAGTTTGAGCACTTTCTTCAAAAGAAACCCATTTTGGTGTCAATGGAAAAGTTGTAGAGAATCAAAAATAAAGCTTATATCCAAGTTTTCAGAACGATTCAAAAACTGGTTTGGAAGAAATGCAAAATTTACGAATTTTCACAAAACTGGCAACAAAACTTGCATTTTAAGCGAAACTACTAAGTGGATCTTTTTGGAAATTTGGCTATAAGCCTAATTTTTGATTCTCTACAACTTTTCTATTGACACCAAAATGGGTTTCTTTTGAAGAAAGTGCTCAAACTGGGATCTCCAGTCTCCACCTCCAGTCCTCCATTTTTGAGTCTCACACTTGTCTCACACACAAACCAAAATCCTACTACGAAAGAGGAATCCGCAAATTGCCTGTAAAATGGGCAGAAGTCGTCAATAATAATGGAAATTGTTTGGAATGAATTGATGGTTTTATGTTGAATAAATTTTAGTTCAAAGTCCCGCAGTTTTCAATTCAACAACCCAATATTATGTAAAATATTCAACAATTTTACCTGAAGTCGAGGTACACGCAGAACCGATACCCTGTAAAGCTCTCGCCAGCCACAATGTCCCATACGAGGAACCAAACGCGAACATCAATGTCGACAAAAACATGATCACGAAACCCATGAACATCGGCATCGTGTAGCCAATTCTATTCAAGAACAGCTCCTTATTGGACAGCTCCTTATTTTCACAAACTTGTTTGTCATTGGTCCAACAAAAGGATTGATCAACAGCTGAATGAGGGCTTTTGAGCCGAACATCAAACCGACGTGGACATTCTCTTCGGCGAGCACGTTGTGACGTCGGCCTTCTCGTGCGCTTGGATCTAAGAATGAAATGTAGAACAATAAAGAATAAAAATGAATACATTTATTCACACAAATAATGTGGTACAAAAAAGACACAAGCATCTAGCCGGTGGGATTGAAACTCCCGACTAACAAGGGAAAGCCAACTAGGCTGCCCAAATTACATGAGCCATATATTATTCGACGCAGAATTTTACGCTGATTCCGAATCTGCTTTTCGTTTCTGCTATCGAGCACTCTGTCAAAAGTTTTACGCGTGCAAAGTTTTGCAAGGAGCTTTAAAGATGAAACATAGACCTTAAAAACCGCTTTTCAGACACGGAAACGATACTTTAATCACTCACCCTCTTCCGGTGGCGCTCGTTCCTTGTCCAGCTCTCGATTAGGACTCTTACTTTTCGACTTTGTTCGTGAGCGACTCTAAACTTTACTATTAAACATTTTATAATTTAATTGCTGAAAAGAAGTTGAATTGAAACTTCAATCTGTAGTTTTTCACTTCAGCCAGAGTTTTTCACTTAGCCAAATGTCTTGCCAGTTTTCTTTGCAATCAATAGTCGCCAAGTCTTCATAAATTTCCACAAATCTTTGTTTAGTGGTTTAACTGTAGCTTGATAGCTTGTAGATTCACAAGTAAATAGATCTTTTATAGTAAAATCAATGTCAAAGCAAATCCAATCTCAGAACAAAGCCAATCTCAGAGCAAAGCCAATATCAGAGCAAACAAGCAAAACAAAAAACACCCCCAGCAAAAGAACCCCGAAAGCCAACCAGAAAGCACTCCGAGCAAAGCCAATCTCAGAGCAAAGCCGATCTCCGAGCAAAGCCAATCTCAGAGCAAAGCCAATCTCCGAGCAAAGACAATCTCAGAGTAAAGCCAATCTCCGAGCAAAGCCAATCCCAGAGCAAAACCAATGTCAGAGCAAAACCAGTGTCCTTGTGGCTTTCAGAAAGTTCAAAAATCTATTTCTAAGCGGATTTGGCACTTGTTTTACACTTTTTGCACTTCCTTTTACACTTTTGCACTTTCTTTTACTCTTTTTGGACTTCCTTTTACTCTTTTGCACTTCCTTTTACACTTCTTTTAAACTTCTCCCCCTTCCTCACCTTTGTTTTCTGCTTGCTGCTTGGCTTTCGACTTTTCGCCTTCGATGCAAGCGGGCTCTCCTCCCAATCAATGTCCCGATCACGATCCTCCATCGGAATATCCCAATCCTTTAAACAACCTTTTAAACTTATCCTTAGATAATCAATCATCATTTGGTTATTATTAAAAAATTCTACGATTTGTAGAAAATTTGAGAAACATAATAGAAAGTCGCACCTGATCTTCATTCCAGACTTGTCGCTTGCCTCGAATGTTGTCCGAGACATCATTACTCTGAAATTAAAGCTTTTAAAACATTTCATTTCTTTCTCTTTGGCTTTTCTTTCTTTTATATCTTTTACTTTATTTTTAAAGCTGGGCTTAAAAAGCTGGCCTTAAAAGCTGGCCTTAAAAAGCTGGCCTTAAAAAGCTGGGCTTAAAAAGCTGAGCTTAAAAAGCTGGGCTTAAAGAGCTGGGCCTTAAAAAGCTGGCCTTAAAAAGCTGGCCTTAAAAGCTGGGCTTAAAAGCTGGCCTTAAAAAGCTGGCCTTAAAAAGCTGAGCTTAAAAAGCTGGGCTTAAAAAGCTGGCCTTAAAAAGCTGGCCTTAAAAAGCTGGCCTTAAAAAGATGGGCTTAAAGAGCTGGGCTTAAAGAGCTGGCCTTAAAAAGCTGGGTTTAAAAAGCTGGCCTGAAAAAGCTGAGCTTAAAGAGCTGGGCTTAAAGAGCTGAGCTTAAGGAGCTGAGCTTAAAAGAATTAGTGCACAACAAACTTGAACATTGTACAGCAAGAGATCCGTCTCATTTGGATGCGATAATCGGAGAAGATACTCGGGGATAATCGGCACTAAAATTGTTTGTTTTCATTGTTTTTAAATGAATTAATCTAAACTTAAGTCTAATTAATTTCATTAATTCAATTAAATAATTTGAATTTGCTGGAATTTGAAGAAATTTTGAAATAATTTGAAATTTGGTTTTTTTTACTATTGGGTTGATGGAAAAGTCCTTTCCGATTTTTAGTACCTTCAATTTGTCGAATTTTGACGTTTTATAGCTCATCCTAAAGCTGAATTCAAGACGGATCGATTGGTAAAAACCGTTTTGAGATTTCTCTTTTCTAAAAGTTTTTACAGCTATTTTAGTAAAGGGCGGAAGAGCCAAAAAATGGCTGTTTTCACGTTTCGTTAGTTTTCCGTGCAGAAACCTAGGCTAAAAACATGTGTTTCGTGATCAGCGCGTGATTTTGTAACCCCTAAACACGCATTTTCCATAATCTTAGCAAAAAATATATAGAAAAAAGAAGGAAAATTGTCGAAAACCGGTGGAAAGTCTATTGACCTGAGGGTCCCTGAGATCGAACCTTTCCACCGCTGACGATATTTTTCAAAATTTTTTGCTAAGTTTTTGTTATTATGGTAAATTTTAGGGGACAAAATCAGACGCTGATCACGAAACACATGTTTTTAGCCTAGGTTTCTGCACGGAAAACTAACGAAACGTGAAAACAGCCATTTTTTGGCTCGGCCGCCCTTTACTAAAATAGCTGTAAAAATTTTTAGAAAAGAGAAATCTCAAAACGGTTTTTACCAATCGATCCGTCTTGAATTCAGCTTTAGGATGAGCTATAAAACGTCAAAATTCGACAAATTGAAGGTACTAAAAATCGGAAAGGACTTTTCCATCAACCCAATAGAAAAAAAATTCGTTTTATAATCCCGAATTCGAAAATTATCGCTTAAGATTTCTCAAATTGATTTGAGTTTTCAATTTTTTTGCTTCTGTTTTTTGCTTCAATGCATGCAATCAATGCAATCCCTCTTTTTGCATTCAATGCAATCCTCTGCAATTCTTGTTCAATGCAATTCCTCTGCAATTCCTCTGCAATTCCTCTTCAATGCAATTCCCCCGTCCTTTGTGTCGACTCACCGACGGTCGTTAGGAGCATATTGTCGAGGAAAAGAGCGATGTAAACAATGAGCAGGAGAATCTTTCGATTCCCTCGATATTTGCACACCAACTCCACTAATGTCATCTTTTTTCTTCTAAAGTTCAATGATTTGCTTTAAATCTAGGTAGGAATGAAAAACAAAAATGAAGGATTAGGCGAATCGAAGCGATCTAAGCGATCGAAGAGATCAAACGATTGAAGAGATCAAACGATCGAAGCTATCAAACGATTGAAGCGATCTAAGCGATCGAAGAGATCAAACGATCGAAGCTATCAATCAAAGCGAACAGCGTTTGGTCACTCATCATCGATCACTCACCGTCACGCGTTAAACGATGACTCAATAACAACATCATCTTGAGATATCCCTCTCACATTAAACCCTATTAACCAGCCTTTTTTATCTAGTTTTTATATTGCTTAACAGTTTTTATGAATGTTCAGCGCTTGTTTCATGTTTTAAAGTCAACAACAAAGAGCTATTTCTTCTTTGTTGACTCCTTCAAGTGGTCAAAAGTTTGATGAATTCTATTCTATGTACAAGTTTGATGGATCAAAAAAGTTTTAAAGTCATAAGAAGAAAGTTTTATGAACGCGACAAGTTGAACTTGATAGTTTTAAAGTGATCAAAAGGTGATCACCAAGATCGAGATTAAAAGAAATCAAAGTATTGGGTTGGTGAATTGAAAACTGCGGGACTTTGAACCAAAAATTTATTCAACATAAAACCATGAATTCATTCCAAATAATTTCCATTATTATTGACGACTTCTGCCCATTTTACAGGCAATTTGCGGATTCCTCTTTCGTAGTAGGATTTTGGTTTGTGTGTGAGACAAGTGTGAGACTCAAAAATCGAGGACTGGAGGACTGGAGACTGGAGATGTCCCAGTTTGAGCACTTTCTTCAAAAGAAACCCATTTTGGTGTCAATAGAAAAGTTGTAGAGAATCAAAAATTAGGCTTATAGCCAAATTTCCAAAAAGATCCACTTAGTAGTTTCGCTTAAAATGCAAGTTTTGTTGCCAGTTTTGTGAAAATTCGTAAATTTCGCATTTCTGTGGAGACGGATTTTGAACTTTAAATATACTTTAAAAGCTATAACTTACTGAAATACAGTGACTGGACAATGAAATATGATATTTGAAAAAACACTTTCGCACTTTCGCGCGTTTGTAACTCCCTTGTCTTTGAGTTTAAACTATTAGTGTTATACATTTTCTGAAAGCTCTTTTCAAGGGCTACACAATGGTAATATTAATATTTAGAGATACGGTAAAGACAAGGGAGTTACAGACGCGCGAAAGTGACGATCTTTTTTCAAATATGATATTTCATTGTCCAGTAGTGTACATTAGCTTGATTAGCTTGATGATGTGGGCTTTCGGGAACTGTCCGAAACTGTACTCAATGACAATAGCCCGCAGTTTTCAATTCACCAACCCAATAAAAGAAATTCTAGATTTGCGATAATGCATTTTTCTTATTCTACACAAGCTCATTTGAATGGAAATCTTTTTTGAAAAATCGATTCAAACGAAGGAAGAAAGGATGAATTAGATAAAACTAGATAGTTAGGTAGAATAAAGGTTAGGTAGAATAAAGGTTAGGTAGAATAAAAGCTAGGTAGAATAAAGGCTAGGTATAATAAAAGTTAGGTACTATAAAAGTTAGGTACTATAAAGGTTAGGTAGAATAAAAGTTAGGTGGAATAAAAGTTAGGTACTATAAAGCTAGGTACTATAAAAGTTAGGTACTATAAAGGTTAGGTAGAATAAAAGTTAGGTACTATAAAAGTTAGGTACTATAAAAGTTAGGTACTATAAAGGTTAGGTACTGTAAAAGTTAGGTACTATAAAAGTTAGGTAGAATAAAAGTTAGGTAGAATAAAGGTTAGGTAGAATAAAAGTTAGGTACTATAAAGGTTAGGTAGAATAAAAGTTAGGTACTATAAAGGTTAGGTAGAATAAAAGTTAGGTACTATAAAGGTTAGGTACTATAAAGGTTAGGTAGAATAAAAGTTAGGTACTATAAAAGTTAGATACAATAAAAGTTTTGGTAGATCAAACTGTTAGGATTTTAAATCAACTTGATAGCGCGAGAAAACTTGATCATTTATTTGGCAAAACACATTTAAAGTCGAAACTTTACTCACTAATACTTTACTCTTAAGCCTTTCTATCGCTTTTGCTGTCTTTATTCGCTGTCTTTCTTCGCTTTCTTTATTAGCTTTCTTTATTCTTGTCTTTATTCGCTTCGGCTTTCTTTATTTATTCCTTTTCAATAGATCTGCTCATTTTTGTTTGAATTCATGATGAATTTTGAGCGGCATTTTCCTTTTTTTGTCTAGGAAACATCGATCATTTCGCATTCATATATTACATCGCAGTACCACACAAGCAGCTATTTTTTTCATTCTTCCTTGAGCGATGAGGTCTTGTCCGGAACAGGTGTGGCCGTCCGAGTGAATCCCCTTCACGGGCGACTTTTTCGAAAGCTCGCACATTACGCCGTTTCGAAAATACGCTGTACGGATGAAAACAAGATGAGTTCCGCAAAATTTGATGTCCAGAAGTGCCGCTTAATGCCGCTTAATGCCGCTTAATGCCGCTTAATGCCGCTTAATGCCGCTTAATGCCGCTTAATGCCGCTTAATGCCGCTTAATGCCGCTTAATGCCGCTTAATGCCGCTTAATGCCGCTTAATGCCGCTTAATGCCGCTTAATGCCGCTTAATGCCGCTTAATGCCGCTTAATAAGGCTTAATAAGATTTTGAAACACGTAGGCTTCGAATTCAATAGAGATTCAAGCGTCACTCGCTTGCTTCTCTCAATGTATAATGCGATCCAAGTGTGCAAAGTCGTGAGAATCACTTTTCCACGTGATGTTTCTGGTGACGTTAATCGTGAGTTTCTGCAATTTATGGAGAATCGCTGGGCGCTTAATTTCTGCTTTACTTCACGTTTAGCCAAGATCTAATAGATCTAATAGATCTAATAGATATAATAGATCTAATAGATCTGATAGATATAATAGATATAATAGATATAATTCTAGAGAAATAATAATTAAAAAGAAAAGATATAATCGAGAAAACCCTTGAAAATGAATCTTTGCCCTAATTGCACCGAAAAAGCGAGGAGTAACAAGTGAATTTGTGTGAAAATCGCTCAAAATTCCCTCATTTGTAGCCATTTTTGGCAAATCTATCGCCTAAATTAGCGGCAAAGAGTGGGAAAAACTAAAAAGAAATCTTTTAAAAGAAAATCCAGCAAAAACAAAGTTTCCCTTTCGATTTCTGAGAAAGTTTTGTGAAACTTTTAACACAAAAACTCTAATTTTCAAGTACGCCAACACTGAAATCGGATCTTGTGATAATTGGGACAAAAACGTGTTGACTCAAAGGTTTTTGGGATCATTTATTCACAATATTGGGTCTATACGTCACTGCAAACCAAGAAATTGATCTAAAAACTGCTTTCTTCAATGGGATTTTATTGGATTCAATGGGATTTAGGCTTTCAGAGCTTTAGAAAGAAAACGTTGAACAAAAAGGATTAGGACTTTCTTGCCCACTTAACACAGGGTGTTCAATATTTATGGGGACCAGTAGACATTTCGAGTGCCCCCCCCATTCGAGTGCCCCCTTCTTTCCCAAGCCCCCTAAGTGCCCCCAAACCGAGGGAACAATAGAATGTGGGGAGGAACGGGAACGATAGAAAAAATCATATCTGCTTCCAGCAGGCAAAGCCGGCGGGTTGCTTAACTTGGCAGATCGGACGGGATCTCTTCAACGGGGATGGTCATAAGCCAGTGTTACGAGATGGAAGACAATTCAAATATTGAAAGACAGAGATCACCAGAGACGGGACGCTGTGTGCACCTTTTGTGTGTCTCGTAGGAAAAAGCTCCATCTGGCACACGGTCTCCACACATAGAGCGACAGAGACCCCCCAACCCGGTTTAATTACCCAAGTTTGAGGTTAGCATTAATCCCGAAACCTTTCAAATAGGGAAAAAAGCGATCACCAAAGAGACGGGAGGCTGTGTGCACCTTTTGTGTGTCTCGTAGGAAAAAGCTCCATCTGGCACACGGCTTCCACGGATACCTCGACAGAGACTCTCCATCTCGGTTTAATTACCCAAGTTTGAGGTTAGCATTAATCCCGAAACCTGGTGAAAGCGTTTCGAACAAATTTTGGAACCCGTAAGGGGGATGCGCAAGTGTGAAAAGCCTGGCCTGGCCTTGCCTGCAGCCTGGCCTGACCTGGTCAAGGCCAAGAGGTCAAGCTAGGGAATATATTTGTTCTTCTTGACTTGAACCATCAGTTTCAAACTAGCCCGAGAGCTAAGCTGATCTAACTTGTTCCGTAACCTAACTCCAAGCTAGACTTAATCTAAAATGTTATTCGATTGCAGAAAAAATGTTATTCGATTTAATACAACAACGAGAGCTGAGTTTAGCTTGATTTCCCCCTAGACTAAGGAAATAGTGGCTTCTTTGACTTAGAAAAGTTTCAAACCAGCCCGAGAGCTCCCTTTAAAGCACCTATTTGTCCTCCTTGACTTGAGCCATTAGTTACAAACTAGCCCGAGAGCTAAGCTGACCTAACTAACAAATGAAAGAAAGTGTCAATGACCCGAAATTCTGAAGCTTCGGAAATGGAAAGCTTTGAATAAAACAAAGGAAATTTTATCTTTAAAGCATTTTCAACTAAATATATCTAAAGATATAACTAAATATCTTTAAAAGCGAAACCACAACTCGGATCTCTGAGGGATTTTTTTTTCTGCGGTGTGAGAGACGGCTCGGTTTGAAGAGCAGACAAAATCTGCACTTGACAGCCGGAAAACTAATGGAAAATTCCCCGTCCGCCCCATCGCTTTCCTTTCTTCTTGAGAATAGACTGAATATCCAAAAAATGATTTAAAGTTTACTGAATTTGCTGAAATTTGCTGAAATTTGCTGAAAATTGCTGAAAATTGCTGAAAATCTATTCTAAAAATAAAGCGAATTGATTTTAGAGTTCTTTTCGAGACAGATTTCTTTGATAAATTGAAAAACTTGTAATTTGATTGACTGAA